TGATTTAAGAATTGGGTTCATTAAGTTCTAGTAATTAAATGTTTTGCATATTTCAATTGGTCTTGGTTTGGAAATAAAAGTTTTGAAATTTGTCATGTATGATGTCAACCAGTGCTTTTTAGTTTTTAGAAAGAAAGACAAATAGCTATTTATCTGGTTGTGAAAAGATGATTTTTTTACCTCATTCTTAAGAATTCTTGGTCGTTGATGTGTATGTACTATATTATATGTAAACATCATTCAAGCTGGATGAAAAGTTAAATAGACCCCAAGTAGTTTGTTAGATTCACTTATAAGTGACCATCATTAATTTTAGTATATTAGAAAAGAAATTCTTCTTTGCTTCTCTGATCACTTAACCATCTAGTTAGCATTTTTATAAAAGCTGGCCTAATGGGATATGAACAGTTACACTTGAAGAGCTATCTACTGTCCCCAGCCCTTGTCCATGTAAATAAGCTTGTGCTAGTGGCTCTGATGGCCACATATGTGGACTGAAAGACAGCAGATGGTTGTAAAGATGTAAAATCTCCAGCAGTTACTGTCCGCCGGAGTTAATCAAGATGCTGGCCACATGCGGTTAGTGTGTCCCATGTGGGAGAAGATGCTGGTCCCACAGGGTCCCACGTAGTCTACTTGGTCGTCTGGTTTCCCCCCTTCCTGCTGTTTAAATGCACTCCCCCTTTTTATAAGAGCTGGAGTTCTCTCAGCTGTGGATTATAAGAATCTATGACCAAGTGGTTTTGAGAAGAAAAAACCAAAACATACTTGTGTTTCTTTTTCCAGGTTCCATGGGAGATTGGTAACTAGTAAAATTAGATAGCCTAAGTAGAGTTGCTTTGTAGTCAAAGCCTTACGTCTTTTATTCAGTAGCCTTCTCTGCTTTGGCAGATTCCTGATTACTCACAGGTGAAGGTCAGAGCTAATTTTAGATCATTCCTGGAATGCCTCAGTTTCTGCTTGATTTAATTATTTCTGTAAAGTCGTGTTCATTTAAATATATAATTGTAAACACTGTGATTCGATTACAGACAGTGACTCTTGTGTCCAGGCCTTGCATCGGACTTTTGATGCCAAACAGAATCCGTATGTGACAGATAGAAGTACAGTTATGAGGCGGAGGGAAATAAATGTGTTTTTCGTAGCCAGGGTGGAGTGCAACCACCACCATGTGGAAGCAGGAACTCCAGTTCCATGTGATGAAGAAATGCCTGTGGCATGCGGGGCAGATGGAGTGTGAAATAGCGTCAGGAAAAGAGGTACCCAGGGACCTTGGTTTTAAAATGCAATTTCAGAAGGAATGCAAGCAAACTTCTGGATTTCAGACAGCTTGGCATTCTGGGGAAAGAAAAGACTTTAATTGGTCTGGCCTTTTTTCCTTTAATCAAAAAGGCAGGACAGAATCATCCAGCAGCTGCTGCGCTCTTGTATCTTTCTCATTGCCATCAACTGCCAAAGAGCGCTTCATGCATGTGACACAGGTTTTCTTTTTCAAAGTCAGAATTTCAAATTTACCTGGCCAGAAAGCTCTAAGGTTATCATTTTCCTCAATGAAGCTTAGTTAGGGAGCTGGTAAGGGAACCTTTTAAGGAACTGAAACATTTAGTCCGAGATTTTGTCAACTGGTTCTCAGCTAAACTAAGTTTACATCAGGCTGGAGCGAAGATGTTGAGATACAATTGGGAAGATATCTGGCCCCCCAACCCCCTTGACCTCGTGCCTAGGCCCGGCTTTGATCCTCTCAGGTGTAACCTGAAGATGAGGTGGAGATAGTTGACTGAGTTGTTGGATTCTATTACCAGTTTATTCCCATACAGCTTCTGGTTACCCTCAGAAGTCAACCTTATGTCTTTGTGGAAACAGTAACCGCCTCACCTTCTTCTAACTTCAAATCATCACTATTCTTTTCTTCATTCTTGACCCTCCTCCTTGTCAAAGCTCCTTTCCCTGTGTTCTTTATTTCAGACCTTCTCCATCTTCCTGTTTCCTCCCTCCTGGTTTTCATCCTGCTTCTAAAATTAGCTCTGAACTTCATTCTTGCCATTTATTTTGTTCTGCCTGTGTACTTACTCTTTTCTTGGGAAAAAAAAAAAAGATCGCATCTTTTCTCCTCTGTGTCTCTGTCATTTTACCATTCCATCTGTTTTCTTCATCATCCACTAAAACTCTTACATTAAAGAAAATTTAAATTCTGGTTTGTAAATCCAGTGTTGTTGTTTTTTTTTTTTCCTTCCTTCATGGCCATCTTCCTTAGCCCCTCTGTGGCCTTAATCTTTTAAAATGTCCCTTCTTCCATGACTTTCTTATAATCAACTTGGTTTTCTTCCTATTCCTTTGACAAATACTTTCTCTTTTGCTGAGCTTATCTGTTTTCTCAAATTCAGTTTTCATTTCAGTGTTGACAATTTACAAATTATGTTTCAAACCCCAACCTTTTCTGATTTTTAAAAAAATCTCTCGTAATCTTGCTTCTAGGCCTAGCTCACATGCAGTACATTTCTTTTTTCTCACCTTAAGTTGTACTCATTCATGGAAGAGGAAGATGATCACTCCCTGGCTGGTGCGGCTCAGTTGGTTGAGCACCATCCCGTGCACCAAAGGGTCTTGGGTTCAATTCCAAGTTAGGGCATATACCCAGGTTGCAAGTTTGATCCCGGTCAATGCGGGAGGCAACCGATTGATGTTTCTCTCTTACCTCTATGTTTCTTTCTCTCTCCCTCTCCATTCCACTCTTTCTAAAAATCAATTTTAAAAAAAAAGAGGGAAATGGTTGCTTACTTCATGTATCAACTGTGGTCACCATTTCATCTGCACGGGCCAGTATAGTACTGTAGCTCTGACTTTTCTGCAAATTGAATAGATGACAGAAGTTGGAGATACCTTCTAGATTTAAACTGTTTGAATCCAGCCTACTTTGAGGCATTATCCATTACCCTTTCCTTCTCATCATCATCTTTGAAGATTTGTGTAGACATTTAAAAGATATTTTACCTGAGAAGATGAGGGCTGTTGGAATACTGGGCACCTGTATGTCTTTTTGCCTCCCTGGTAGTGCAGGGAATAGGAAGAGCAGACAGGGCGACTAGGAGAAGGGGTCGCATGTCTGAATGAAAGAGGTAGTGCCTTCTGCTTGGTAGCAGTGTCACTGCTGTGGGGCCAGAACAGCAGCATCCTGTTCACCTGCTCTCACTGGGGTGGCATTCCAAATGATGGAGGTGTCAGCTTCATGAAAGGAATTTGAAGTATTATACATCACTTTGGATAGAGATTTTTAAAATAAGCTTTTACTCATAATTGTTTTTGATACTTTATTTGATAATTGATAAAAATCATTATTGTAGAAAATTGCAGAACACATATTGAACAAAAGTAAAAGCACTCGTGATACCACTTTGTAGAAATAACCTATTAACGCTTCAGGGTATTTCTTTTTTTTTTTTAAATATATTTTATTGATTTTTTACAGAGAGGAAGGGGGAGGGATAGAGAGTTAGAAACATCGATGAGAGAGAAACATCGATCAGCTGCCTCCTGCACATCTCCTACTGGGGATGTGCCCGCAACCCAGGTACATGCCCTTGACCGGAATCGAACCTGGGACCTTTCAGTCCGCAAGCCGATGCTCTATCCACTGAGCCAAACCGGTTTCGGCCAGGGTATTTCTTTATAGCCTTCCTCCCCCACCCTATCCCTTGTATTTTAACAAAATTGCAGTGGTATTGTGTATAAAGTTTTCTGTCCTGATTATTTCACGTATTAATTACATCATGAACATTCCCCCCCCCCCCCTTAGCTGTACTTTAATAACATAATTCTCCTCAGGGCTATACTATCATTTATTTAGAACCGTCAACTTTTAGGTTATTTATAATATTTGACTATCATAAAACAACTTTCATAATATGTATCTTTCTGCATAATATTTGTCTGCATCTCTGGCTATTTCCTTCATTGATTCCTGGAAATGTGATTAAAACATACCTAGCATCGACTAGAAGGAAGGGCCACTTAGCAGTTTATGATGTCACTGGATCCTCAGGTTAACTCCACAGATAATGAAGTGGGGAGGAAACGTACAGCTTCTAATAGGGAGGTCTGTGATTTGGTGACTTGAGTGACCCAGAACTCATGCTGGGTCCTGGTCTGCTTTCTAGTTGGTTCCGTTGTTTGAGAGAAGATGATGAGATTACCAGTAGACGATATGTGTAATAGCTGTAGGTGCCACATGCTTAATGGTGTAAGGGCTTTGGTGTGTTTTGTAGGTATAGTAGCTTATCAGTGGAATAATAGCAATTATTGCTACCTACTCTCTGTTGCCATTATGAAATTCCAGTTTTTCTCTTAATGTTCCAATATGCATTTAGCCTTTCAGATTCAACCTTCCTAAAAGTTTTTAATCTGTACTAGCTAAATTATTTTTCTCTTTTTTAAGTTCCTAGTTCTAAACTAGTAGTTGCCAGGGGCTGGGGAGCAGAGGGTGAGATGGGTATGGCTATCAAAGGGCAACCTGAGGGATCGTTCTGGTTTGGGAACTGTCCTGTACCTTAACTGTGGTGCCTAAATGAACCTGCACGTGTGATGACATCGCACAGAACTAAATAAACGCCCTGGGAAATGAGCACGGATAACACAAGGGAGATTTGAGTAGGATGGTAAATTGTTTCTGTGCTGACACCCTGATTGTGATGTTATGCTGTAGTTTTGTAAGATGTTACCATTGGGGGAAACTGGCTAAATGGATACATGGGATCTTGCTGTATTAGTTCTTATAATTGCATGTGAATCTACAATGATCTCAGTAAAAATGTCAATTAAAATAGGTTTGCCAGTTCTGAAATTGGATGATTTTCAAGAATGTGGTATTTTTACTCAGTGGTAATTTTGAAATCAGCTTGATAGTCACAAGTCATGTTATCCTTTTTTTTCCCCGGTAAGTTTGTCTACTGTGAACAGAAGGAACAAATGCTTCTTAATATTTTCCTATAACTAAGTTTTTTAAGGTGTGACATAATTTTCTTTCAGCCACGAAGACTTTGAATTTATTTCGGGAACACGAATGCGCAAACTTGCTCGAGACGGCCAGAAGCCTCCTGAGGGTTTCATGGCTCCCAAGGCCTGGACTGTGCTGGTGGAATACTACAAGTCCCTGGAGAAAGCCTGAACTGCTCACCAGTCCCTCCACCTTTGACACTTCACTGAGTAACCAGAGGGGACCGCATAGTTAGTGTTGGCATTTCTTTGTGGTGGTGTCTGTCTGAACACCCTTCCTAAAAACAGACCATTGTCCTTAACTTGCATCAGTTTTGGTCTGCCTTATGAGCTCTGTTTTGAACTAGTGTAATACAGTGCTGATTTTAATGTATCTTTTCCACTTATTATAGTTAATATTCCTATAATACAATTTTAAAATCTTGTCTTTTTATATTATATTTATGCTTCTGTCTCATGATTTTTTTCAAGCTGTTATACTAATTGTAACCAATAATATACACATTGAATTTCATTTTCATCCCTTGAAAAAGGAAAAAAAAATCCACTAAACAATAAACGTGGCTAGAATTTGGGAATTTTACAAGACATCTGTAGCAATTAGATTTTTTTCTACATTGAAAATATAAACTGCTTTCTTTATTCCTTCCTTCCAATCAGCTATTGATTTATAATCTGTTATAATCTAAAGTATTCCTATGACATATGTAAGACCTGAATGAACTTTCTTTATTCAATAAAATTAAACCTTTTGACTTATTTGTGTGATACTTTTCATTTTTATTTTTATTTATTTCAGAGAGGAAGAGAGAGTGAAATAGAAGCATCAATGATGAGAGAGAATCATCAATTGGCTGCCTCTTGCACTCCCTCTGTTATGGGTTAGCTCAGCGAGATAGACCACCGACTCAGAATTTAAATTTTAAGAGCCTTTATTAAGCTGGCCAGCTAACTGCAGCTGTGTCCCTCCCGTAGGAGCATCACAGCTTGCAGTGCTGACCGAGAGTACAGCAAGACCTTTTATCTGCAACACTACAAAGTATTTTTTTTAAAAAAGAAAAAACAAACTGCAAAGCGGTTCATTAGCCGTTCCTGGTACTGGCAGGGTAAAAAGTTTACATAAAATTTACGAGCAGGGTCACACCTGGCTGGGTTTAATCATAACACATTGCTTTTCTAGCGAGATAATTAGCAATTTTTCTCTCCCATGGTCCCTGCCCCTCAGCCTACTCAGTAATTCTTCTTTGTCAGGCCCCTGCCCCTAGCACACCTCCACTGGGGATCAAGCCCACAACCTGGGCATGTGCCCAGACCAAGAATTGAATTCTGTGACCTCCTGGTTCATAGGTCGATGCTCAACCACTAAGCCACATGGGCTGGACTTGTGTGATACTTTTAGTTTTGTTTACATATATGCTTTCTGTTTTGTGAAGTTTCTGATGGAGGAGAGAAGATACAGGTATCTTTTATTACTGGAATCTAATAATTATTAACATTGTATTTCATAGTGAATTTGTAGGTGGGAAAATAATGTATTCTTAGCCTTTCCAAAAACTGAACATGTTTCCCCAATATTCTTAAAACACCTCAGAGGGTGGTTCCAGTAATAGAGAATGATATAGGGAGTAGCAGGATGTCAATTCGTCCATTTTTGGGGGGAGGGGAAGCAACACACCAAGTTTGCTCTTTGCCGCAGTCTTTTCGCTGCAAGGGTTCAGGAATCTGGAGAAGGGCTGCGCATAAATGGATATAGACTAGACAAGAATATAAATTTGGAAGGCATTGGGGGAGCCAGACAGAAACCAGTTCTCTAGTGGAGTGGCTCTCCAAATGTCTGCACTCACAGCTTTTTATTCACACATTTTGCCCTTTAGCAAAGCAGATATACATATCAAAGGTAAGGTTTGGTAAACAATACACGATTATCAGGTTAGGGGAATTGCCCTCAGCTGTTTGGCTCTGCTGAAGATGTCCATCAGCCTTCTGAGGAACTTCTCCCATTTATTATGCTAACTGCTGTTTTTAGCCTCCAGCAGCTCTTGTAGAATATCCTCAAGTTGAATATTTATGTGAAGATGCTTTCTTAGGAGCTGGATATACACTTTTGGTTGAGATGCCAGCTTTTTTGATTTGCAATCATGCTTTGTATTGTGAAATAATCTTGCATGGTTTGGCCTTAAAAATTAAGCATTTTAAAGAGATGGAGATTATGCATGGATATAGTGTGGAAGGGTATAAAATAGTACTCAGAAAAGAAATAGAAGGAAAAATGTTTTTTTAAAAAAAAGGTAAAAATGGGTGGATGATGGAACCAATTAGTGAGAAAGCTGATAAATAGAAAAGAAGTAGAAATTATGAGTAGATATTTTCTAGTGGATAGATATATTTGCTGCGGATACTAAAGAAAGTATTAGTGGGTGATTTAGAGGCTATATGGATGGATATGTTGATGGAAAAAATGAGACATGATTGTTTATTACTTTCTTGGCACCACACTATCTAGATGTGTTTATGTTATAGTTATGATTGTATTAGCATGTAGTTACCCCCATATTTCAATATTAAGTTGTAACCCTGTGTGAGACCCACAAAACCCAAATGTACTTTCCCAATGAGTGAACGCCCAGAACTTGTACCCTAGACCCATATTGCACCAGTACAGCACACCACAGCCAGCAGCCACCGATAAGGACCGTCGTGTTTACTCAGCCACATAAAAACCCCGGACTTTTGATACTCGGTGTCTCCTGTCCCGAGAGGGGAGGACTCCATGTCACTCTACGACCCTGAGATGCTCCACTGAGACCGAGCCACGGCCGCTCCCGTTTTCATCTTCGTCCTTGTCGGTGTGCATCACCGAGTGGCCGCGCTGGTGCTAGGATCCACTAGGAACTGGTAATAAACCCCTGTGTGATGGCAGACTAACATCTGTCTCTGTGTGTTGATGTTTATGACTTTGTTCAGTTGCCTTAGGCCTTAAAGATCTGAGGGGGCGTTGTTATTGCAGACCCTCAGACACCTGCGCTTGTCCCGACCAGGCTAAGGCAGAATAAGTAATTAATAGAATTTGGGGTCGACTGGGACAGTTTATTTAGGGATAACTCCTGTATATAAGTCTACAAAGGTTGAAGGGCACCATAGACTCTCCCTTGGCAACCATAGACAGCTAAGGTGTGACAGCACCTTGACTCAGCTAATTTCAGGAACTCCCACCTGACATGTTGAAATGCAGGAAGTGATACAGAGATGTAGAGACAGAATAAATCATGGTTTTATGGTGGCAGTGGTAGAGTCAATATTCTGGGGGCAGTGAGTGTCCAGTGGAGTTGGCACCCATGGCAATTGGGTCTCCTATGCAGAAGTAGTATTCTACTAGAATATTCCGGTGTCATGATCTTGGCAGATTCCTCTGCCATCAACCTCCTTTCATTCCTGAGTATTTTCTAAGCCTCATTCTATTGCATTTTCCATCAGATCTGTAAGGTACCCACCAACCTTCGCATTAATTCCTTTGTAATCTAAATTATCTGGAGTTTCTATTGTTTGCTGTCAAGTACCCTGATCCTAACAGGTGGGATGTAAAAAAAAATGTATTTCACAAAAATATCATGCTACTGCTAAATTTCAAGATGATTTTTCCAGTCAGCAGCATTAAAAATTTAAAATATAGAAAATAAACATTTTTAAAAGCCTGGCACTCAGAAAATTTAGTATCCTTTCAAAACTATAAAAATTTACTCATGAAATCAAGATTAATAGCATTCGGGTGAAATGTGGTCTAAAAAGTAACTCTGTGTTCTATTGTGTAATTGTCCTTTTTGAGTCTAGTGCTTCCTGTGGCCCCTGGCCTCCAACCTACCAGAGAGAGATATGATGGAAACATGATTTTAGGCCCCTGTGCCCTTGGGGTTGGCCACCCTCTTGTGTGTTCCAGAGAGATGGGGAAGCAAATGCAAGCACCAATGACTTCCACCAGCCCACAGGTCAACGTGTGAGTCTTTAATCTGCAAATCTGATATGCAGAAATTGTTTTTCCTCTTCCCAGTTCATAAAAATGAGCCCAAGCTAATCTTTAAAACGTTCAACCCTTACACCAAGCCTGCCAAGTGGAGTTGGAAATCTCAGTGCCATTGTAATCTATCCATCAGCTGGAAAAGTGCATGGAAAATAATAATATTGGTTTTTGAAGGAAGGAAGAAAAGAAAGTGCAATCATCTTGGCAGAAATATAATGTTTTAAATCTGTCAAATCTCTATTCCACTATGATAATCAAGACCACATATTTGCATTTCATTTACCATCCAAAAGGGGAACAGTTGGGTCTATGTCTTGGAAGTCAGCATTCAATTACTTTATCAGGAAAAATTCGGAAGTCATGCTTCTTACATATGGTATATTTTTATTAGCACATATGTATCCATGGGTGGGTTGGCTTACAAAGTAAACTATTTGCCCACTGGGACTCTTACGTGTGGGGTATATTTCTTTGAGGGCCTACAATCCTCTTCGGTTATATTTCTGCTGGATTCCATTCCCCACTCCACACAGTCTTGTCCTGAATGTAATTATATGTAAGTTGTGCCAAAAACATCCTGCCCACCTAAGTCCCAGTCTTTTCTGGACCGAGATAAAAGCTGGCCTCACTTGACTATAATTGAGCAGAGGTGTGTGAAGATTGAAGCCGCCTTTTCCTGACGTCCTGCTTCCCCAGATTCACAAGGTAAATGGCACCAGAATGTAGGGCCTCGATTTGAGGAACTGAAATAGGAAACATGGACAATTTTGTCATGGATATCTAGACCTGTGCCAGCACTGAGCATCCCTAATGATCTGCCTTTGTTAAGAAAAGGAAAACACCTCCACTGAAATGAACTAGAAGGCTGACCCCTCTCTGCTTTCCCCCAGTAGCCCTGGCTTAACCTCCCTGAGTAGTGTTTGTATTCTCCTACAGCTTGATTACTCCTATTTCCCAAGAATGCTTAGGCGTCTGTTAAAAGCAAACGTACAGAGACATGGAAGCATGGAACAGACTGGGGGTGGGTGGGTATGTAGGGAGAGATTAATGGGGGAATTTATATGGGCATATGCACAGCCCATGGACATAGACAATAGTGTGGTGAAGGCCTAGAAGGGGCAGGTGCATTGTATTAACCATTTTTCTTTGCATTTACTTTTAAAGAATGAGAACAAAAGGAAAATGTTAATCCCCAACCTCAGAGCAATCACCATATACCACATAATAAGTACATTGAGGGCCGTAAGTTTTTTATGATTTTTAATCTTTGGAATAATAGGGAAGGGATTTGATTGCTTTTATTCATATCTCTAATGGGTTAAAAGTATTATGCCCCAAGTTTGCATAAACATTTTTTCTCTTACTGCCAGAAATAAACAAAAGAAACAAAGAACCTCAATAAAGAAAATAAAATATAGTACAGTGGGGCCTTGACTTACGAGTGTCCCGACTAACGAGTTTTTTGAGATACCAGCTGTCTCTCTGCCGATTTTTTGCATTGAGTTGATAGAGTAATTTGAGTTAATGAGCTCCTTCACGAGCTCCTTAATGAGCTCGGTCTCGGAACGAATTAAACTCGTAAGTCAAGGCCACACTGTATAGCTAAGAGACAAACTTGAAAACTCAGTTTTGAGTGATTAAAATTATATTGAATGGAAACTTTAAAAGGCAATCTTTTTAGAAAAGGATCTGGAGTGATGACTTCTACCACAATAACTCCGAAAGAGATCATAGGTAATGTGGT